AAAGTTTAACGCGTTTAAACGCATTGGAAACTAACGCGTTTAGCAGGATGTTTTTTGTCACATTTAGGGCGTTCAAACGCGTTAAATTATAACGCGCTCTAACGCGTTGATTATCGACCCTGTGAAAGGCGTTTGAACGTCCGGAATGTGACAAAAAACATCCTGGTAAACGCGTTAGTTTCTATGAAAATTTACACGAACTCTAACGCGTTTTTTTCGCAGAAAAAGTTTGCCTGGGCAATCAGTTACAAAATCAGTGTGATCTGTTTTACAGACATTTTCAAATTTCGTCTACTAATTGTCATGCGTGCTTCCTGGATCATAATGGTCCTTTCGACTTTTTTAACACATTTGTTGCAAAAATTCGTCGCGTGTTGTGAGGTTTGTTGGTATCAAGGGATCGAATCTTTACAAAAAAAAGCATCTCTATTGATGTTTGTCTACTCTCATTGGTAATGCCGAAGTGGAAAATCAAACACAAAATGATGGAATTCCTCAAAACTAATGTCATTTATTTTGGACTATGCGCAGTAGCCAAGGCCGACATATCTTAGATGTGTTCGCCCTGTTCTTGATGCCCAATACGGTTCTTTCAGTCAATGGTCTGTGAATCGAAGATGAGCGTTACATGTTAGGATAGTGACATATAAATATGAAACTGATAATGATGCAGTTTTTGTTTTCTTATTTTTATACATCTTATCGCGAGAGTGATTCACTATCATTTATTATACGTCTGTTTTTCAAGTGTGTTATTGCTCATTTAATTTGCCGTTACTTCTTGCTTAGTTTACTAAAAATTATAAAACAAGATGGCATGCATCCATCAAGTTAGAGTTGAGGAATAAAAGTTATTTCAGCTTAAAAAATCATAATAAATGAATGTTTTTAAGGTGTAGTATAGGTAATTTTTAAATAGGGTAATGCCTGCCCGTATCGATAGACAATGTATTCATTATAGGCAAATCCTGTACCGTGCACCGAATGATAATTAACTGGAGCAGCGCTTAATGCATTGGTGGCCGTCATTACTGACTGAACACCCAATAAGACCTTGTTATAGAATATGATACGTTGTTGTGTGTTTACATCAGGCGCTGTATATGCATGCGATTTTCGTGGATCATCGGCGAAATAAGCACCATGTCCTAGAAAAACAAAACAAAATATAGTAGATGTAAATACCAAGTGACATTACGTACCCCATGCACCGCCTGAATTGTAATAACGATCATCAAATCCTCGATTAAATATTCCATCAATGCCATCGGCTTTCGTTCCGTGAAACAGTTCCCGTTCATTAGGATCGTTTCCGGGACATTCTTTGGATATTGTCTTTTTCATGTATTCGTATAGAGCTTCAATATCTGGATTTTTAATTTGTTCGATAGATATCACGTTCGAACCGGGTATCTTTTTCATTTCTGTGACAAGATTTTGATAGAGAGTTGTCGAGGAAGGAAATGGAATGAGTACCGCATTGTAGGTTGTCGGTGGATCTGGTATAAAAAACAATGCTTTACCAAATTGCGTCCATCCTCTTGCTTCCATTTTATCTATACGTTGGCGGATTGCTCCCGGAATCGCTACACCCTGTTCACCTTCAATTGGCCGCAATACCTGGAAACGTTTATTGCGAATATTGTCAACAATTTGTTCCAATTGAATTGGATGTGTTCCACTGGTTATATCCACACGCATACCATACCCAATTCTCTGGTATAATCTTTTTCCAACGATAAATTACTGACATCAAAATCAATACGATCATGTGTGAGTGCGATATGCGGTTCGATCAGATCCATAGTAAATGGTCCCGTTTCGTAGTCTTCATCGAACAATACGACATATCGCCAATCTTGTCGAAATACTTTGGCACTAATTTTAAATTTATACATTCTATCCGAAAATTTTTCAATGTCAAAGTACTCTGATGCTGGTAAATGACAATCAAGATCTGATGGAACCAATTGTTTGTTTAACATTGGTATGTTAGTCCCCGACTGGTACTCAATCCATTGTTTGGGTAACAAGTTGGTTGGTCTCGTTGAATAGTTCCCCACAATCCAATCACGCACAAATCCACCTTCCAAACGACACTTAAATTCACAAACGGCCACCCATGCAACAACTTCCATACGTGTTTCACGTGTCGCTGTTGGACCTTGAAGACTCTTCCATATATCGACAGGTGACCGATGTTCGTTTGTTACATGACTAATTTTCTCTTCCATATCTGCATATTCTTTACGTAACTGTCGTTTCAGCATACGCGGCGGAACAGCTAAATATAAATATAACGTACACATGTACAATCGGTAAAAGAATTATTAAGACTACGATAAGAAGTTTTTTTTGCCGCATTTATCTCAACAATGTTCTGGAGAGATGGGATTTTGAGCATTAAATAGAGCTATGTATGAAGTCTACTCAATGTCAGTGTAAGGTTTTAATCTCAATACCTTCACCCAAGGGAGAAAAGGCGGAATGGGCTGGAATGGGCCATTCCGTACTATCACATACAATTCCAAACATTTTTGACCATTCTGGAATGGTATGGAAGGGCCCATTCCAACCCATTCCGTACCATTTCAAAACGCTTTTTCCCCCTTGCCTTCACCGCTAATTAACAGAATTTTGAAGTGTCTTGAGTAAAAAAAATACCAAGACGCTTGTCTTGCCTCTTGTCCTCACTAATCATTCAACGTTCCAAATACCTTTTCAAATAGTATAGCCCAAAGTACAACGTATTTGCTTTCTGATGAATGACAGAGTTTTCGAAAACTGTAATTTGTTAATGTTGAAAATTTTCATTAAAAAGCAGTTTAAATTTATTTCGACAAGAAAAAAAGTTTTCACTGAAAACTACATGAAATGATACCATTACATATGTCAAACAAAAGCTTTTTAAAAACCTGTATAATATGCTCCCGATTCAAATCTGAAATAACCTACTTTCAAGCGGATTTAAATCAATTGTCTAATTGTGACCATAAAGATCTTAAAGTGGCTATCAAAAGCGATGTCTTTTCAATAAGATCTAAACATTTTTATCCCTAACACGCCTGAAATCCAGAAAATTTCCTGCAAAGCGAGACATGCATTAGTACTCTACAGATAGTTATACAGTTGCATACTATTCCTTTTTTTGCAGCTAATATTTTTGGTTAACCAGTCTATCTAAACTGACAAACCGACGAGGAACAGAATGACGGTCAAACTGTTGAGATTAAAAGCTTACACTAACATCGAGTTGAGCTCAAGCATATTTCTATTTAATGCTCAAACATCCGATCTCTCTACAGACTACAATATTCAGTGTGATGGAAAAAATAATTCTCACCGAGCAAAAATCTGTTGAAAAATTCCACTCTAGGATGCGCAGTTTCCGCGTTTTATTGATCGTTTTATCTTCAACGAATTTCAGTATCAGCAGAAAAAGATATTACGAGCTGAGGTTCCTTCTGTCATACGGTATAGTGATGTTCTAACAGAACCAGTATCATTCACTGTCTCTCTTAGTGGTAGCTCTTGTGGGAACATTTTACTGTACAAAAACCTTTCAAAGCCCATAGTTACTGGTTTTGGGTTCTATGCTGCACTATCAGCTGACTTTTTTTCTAGATATTAAACTACTTAAGGATAATCCCCTCTCCATTTTGAAAACACTTCGATTTTGAGCTGAGGATATCTTAACGTAGAGGAAAGTCTTCGCTACAAATTGAGGTCGCTCCTAGCCCTCTACAAATTCCCTTGAAAAAGTTATGAAATTTTTAAGCTTTTTCTTCAAAGCTTGAAAAAACTGAATGTTTTC